GTAATCACTCAGTGTTTCAACTGTGGAAAGACGCCAATAAAACAGCTTGTGAACAATATTTCACTTAATGGTGCATTTGTCTTGGGAAAGTTATCCATTGTTCACAGTTCATTAGTTAGCAAACACTAAAATGGAGCTTGTTTACTTAGAATCATATATATATGTTTGAATAAATCTGGCACGAAGACAGGTATTTACATATGTGCAACTGAGTTGTATAGCCATTTCAGTTTTTATTTGAGTGCAATTATGATATCTGAAAATAAATAGAAGTTGAATATAATTGCTCTGTTGTTAATTTTAACCTTTAATATTATAGTAATGTGCCAAATGAAAAGGTTCCCTGTATTGTTTACAGCACTGGTTAGGAGAGATTTTTTTCCTTAAGAAAATCAAACTATCGGTATCGGCATTGACAGATATCATTTTGGATAGCTGGCTATCAGTATTGGCATATGAATTCAGTATCGGTGCATCTCTAATTTATATACAAACAAATAAATAAACAAATAAAAGTAAGCTAGTTAATTACCTTTAATCCTGTTGTTAATTTAAACTCAGATTTAAAGGTTTTAGATTCAGATTTTAAGATTTAATTTCTGAAATGATAGCACTTATTCAATGGACTGGGGGAAATTAAATAGGTTTTATGATTATTCATTCATTCATTCATTCATTTTAAATATTTGAAAAAATAATTTGGTAACACTTCCTAGGAAGCCCGTATTTATAATACATTATAAGGGTATTCTTAAGGCATTATAATGAATGCATAATGCATTATAAAATAATGTATAATATGTTGTATCATCTCATGAATATTCATAAGAACAGTTTTAATATATTATAATATTTACTTATTTGTGGTTATAGCTTTTAAGAGTATGATGATTTATAACACAATGAACACGTTGCATCCACTTTTACAATGGATTATATTTCTCATAGTTATAATGTATTATAAGTCTCATATCTTGCCATTTTTCTTATGCTACTTTACTTAAAGCGGTCAAAGACCCCTTATAAGTAGTAATAATAATAATAATAACATAATTTTTTTTCTTTCAAACAGCCATAAGATCAGATATCAGATCAGATGAATGTGTAATATGACACATTTGCTTTGAACTATTTTTATTGTAATATCAGTTTGATTATTTTGATGGTACCCTTTAAACAGCTGTTGATAAGTGACTCTGCAACTACATATCAACTAGTGGTCATTTTTTTCAGTTGGAGTATAAAGCTCATATCAATTAATTAACATTAGCTCCACAGGAAACACTCAAATAACACTCAACATCTAACCACTCACAAGCTGTAGTAAGATACTGTGCGGATCTTAAATAAACAATGTCAAGATATGATACAGTCCATTATTCTGTAAATGAAGTAGATTTAATATGGTGTTCATTGTGTGTTATAAATAATCATACTCTTAAACTTATAACCACAAATACGTAAGTATTACGATGTATTATAACTGTTGTTATGATTATTCATGAGTGGATATAACATATTATATGTTTTTTTATAATGCATTATGCATTCATTATAATGCCTTAAGAATACCCATATAATGTATTATAAATACGGGCTTCATAGAAAGTGTTACCAAAAATTTTTCATTATCTGCCCCTTTGTCTTCCATATTGCTCCATTAATTGATGCAATAAATATTTTCCATTCCATATTCAAGCTGCATATTGTCAGGATTATGGTCCTGTTTTCCCTCCCCATGTGCTCCGTGACCCAATTTCTTCCTTGTTTGATTGTGTTCATGTGATTCAGGTGTGTCTTGTCAATTGTCCTCATTACCCCATGTATTTAAGTCCCAGTCTGTGCGGTCTGTTTTTGTCGGGTCTTACATTGTGATGTACATGTGTCTTCTCCCGTTCCTGGTTTGGATTGCCCCTTGTGTGGATTCATTAAAGACTGTTTATTCTAATCTACGTCTCCGTCGTTCACGCCGACACAGTGCGTGACACATATGCACTACTCCAACATTTTTAAAGGCTGCTTGATCAGCTTTTTGCCAACAGTGATAGTAAAAGTAGGTGCTTAATCTTAAGAAAATTATTTTTATATAAGGTGATCAATTTTCCCAACCTGTTACCAAAATGTCTAAATATATTTTAAAGGGGTCCTATTATGCTTTTTCACTTTTTTAATTTTAGTCAGTGTGTAGTGTGTATGTTTGGGCATTAAAAATATCTAGAAAGTTACAAATCTCAAAGTCCACTCCAAAGGGAGATATTTAGTTTTTTAAAAATCCCTTTTCAAGAACTACAAAGAACGGCTCGTTTGGACTACAGCTTTTGGTTTCCGGGCTTTGTGATATCACAAAGCGGCTCATTAGAATTGCATTACAAATAATTCCCGCATACAAAAATTCGAATGGTTGGGGGGTGGGGAGGGGCGAGGTTGTTGTTAGAACGCTTGGTTGAGTGAGTGATGAAGAAGACGATGAAGAAGAAGTGCTGCTGCGGAGTTAGTGCATCAGAGAAAACGAAGAAGAGCTGCTGTGCTGTAGCGTCAAATTTTTGGCATGTCTAGAACAGCGGTTCTCAATTCCAGTCCTCGCGTACCCCTGCTCTGCACATTTTGTATGTTTCTCTTATTGCTTCATACGTTTGTTATATTTGACTGTAAGTGCCCTGCGAAGTGGACATTACCGGATATTCCTCCATGATTCCAGTTCGAAGGGAGCGTATATGTTCCATACAAAGAGCATTTAAGTGTGTGAGACGTAAATTTAAATTGTATTTATTTACAGAGGTATATTATGTCCGACTTCACGCTTCTCTAGTAAGTTTCATTTGTGTGTGAAGACACTGCAGGCAGCGGCGCAGCGCAAATCTGTAAATGAATATTCCGAAGTGAAGTAAACTTCAACGAATTTCCCCTGCTCAGGGAGTAGGGAGCAATGGACACTGTGTAGGGACCATGTCAATTGAACGGCACTGCCAGTGTGCCTACACTCATAGAAAATAATGTATTCGAATTTTAAAGACGTGGCGCTTCTCGTCCGGTGTGCGACCGCCTGAAACGCTGTTTTTTTTCACCTCCGTGCCCAAACGTCTTTGTTTGGGCTTCCGAAAGCGGATGATGTCAGGAAAAAGTGGTTGCAATTTACTTTTTAACTCTGTTCCTGAGCATTATAACCCCAATTTGCTATTGTGTGCTGCGCATTTTACTGAGGACAGCTTCCACATCACGAGTGAGTAGTGCCGGATTCACCAAAAGCTTTTGTTGAAAGACGGAGCAAGGGGCGTGGCAGTACTGAAACGCCGTCTAAGCTGTTCGCCAATCACAGCGCACTGGGACAGCTAACCAATCACAACACATTTTGTTTTTCGGAAGGCGGACCTTCATCAAAGCCGGAACTAATCGAGCCGTTTGTGCCAGCCTGGGGAGAAAGGTATTTTAATAATGTAAATTATGTGAAAAATAATGTGTTTTTCGAACCACCAAGCATGAGAGCATGTTCTAGTACACCCCCAAAACAAAATCAAGACTTTGTAAAAGAGCATAATAGGACCCCTTTAACCCTTATTTATTTTTTATGTATCAATATGTTTATTTACTTACTTCAGAAATCATGTTATTAAGCTTGATTAATGCAGTGAACACAACAATATTTGTAAAAATTGAAAAAAATGGAATGAGATTATTTACTTGAGTTTTCTTCGGTGTCACAGTTTCGTAGAATTTTTGCAATGATGCTAAAATCAAGTGTTGAGGGTTAGCACATTAAAGGGGTTCTATTATGCGATTTCAAGTTTTCCTTTCTCTTTGGAGTGTTACAAGCTGTTCGTGAATAGATAAGATCTCTAAAGTTGCAAAGACTAAAGTCTCAAACCCAAGAGATATTCTTTATAAAAGTTAAGACTCGTCCACGCCCTCCTAAAACGCCTTGTTCAAACACGCCCCACATGTCTACATCACGATGTGGGAAGATTTGCTTAACACCGCCCAAATGTTCACGCAAAGAAAGAAGGCATAACTTCGATTCTCGCTGTAGTATTGTTGCCGCCGCCATATCGTGGATACGCTGTGTGTTTCGTTGTGAAAGTGAAACTACTTTGTTTGGTCTTCCAAAAGAGGACACAACTAGAAATCAGTGGTTAAGTTGTATTTACAACACTGTTCCAGAACAGTTCAAACCAAATATTCAGATGTGTGCAACGCATTTTACGGAGGACGAGGACTGTTTCCTGAGAGAAGCCTACAATGCTGGTGTTCTGACAAATAATGCTGACTCACAGCCTGTAAGTACGTTTTCATATTTAAAGGATTTGCCACTGACGATTCAAACGCGAGTTTTGAGCAGTGTAGTGTAGCGCTTGTTGTTTGTCGTTTCTCCGATCACAAATGCAGACATGGTTTTATGTTTACGCGGAGCGATGCAATGCAACGCGTAAAAAGACAGTATAAGTCATTATAATCAGTAATTATGTCCCCACTGGATGCAACAAATGCCTCGTTTATAATGGGTTTTATTGGTTTTGTCTCTTCGCGCTGGGACACGGCATCACAGTATGGTAAGGGGCACAACATTTCCGTCACACGCTTGAAGAATTCGGCCAATCACAACACACTAGATAGCTGGCCATTCATAGCAAAATGTAAAATCGACGCATTTCAGAAAGGCAGGGCATAGAGGAGAAACAATAATGTGGTAAGTATGTGGAAAATAATGTTTTTTTTTCACCTTAAACCGCATACACATTTCACTACACCAAATACACAAAATAATGTTCTTTTTAGCAATGTCATATGACCCCTTTAATAGCTACAGTACATATTGGTGCAAATCACCCATAGGGCCTAGCTTGATGTTTAACATGTTTAACTGTTTTGAATCAAATATCCTTTGAGATGCAAACAAATCTTTTGTTTCATTACTGTACACACAATCGGCCAAATAGACATTTAAATGTTGTTTGTTCATTTATCATGTGTATCAAACCCAATGAGTGATGTCTTTTCCTCAACAGAGTGTACGGCTTCTACAAGGGAATCCTTCCCCCCATTTTGGCTGAGACCCCAAAAAGAGCAGTGAAGGTAACAGGAACCACATTTGACTCTGAGCTTAAACTCATCACTTAAACCATACACACTCTGATCTTTGCAACCTGGCCTTCCGAGTGTAAACATACACACAGACCACATACGTATGTCCTCAACATACCGGCTCTAGCCAGGAGGATCAAAAACTCTCATCCCCTCTCTATGTTTGTATCCCCTCTCGTCATGCCACATGTGTTTGCTGTTGAGAACTCCCAATATTGACCTACATGGCCAAAGATTGCTACCGGCCTCACTTTAGTATCATGTATAAACAGTACATATATACACTCTTGAGTTTAGATGAGCACCCACTGTGGTTTTAGGCCTTTGGTTATGGGCACCTCCAAATGGGTGCCTGAAAGGAGAGCGAGCACATTAAGGTCTCACTTTTCCAATCTAAAAAACATCTGGAAGGGGTTTCGTTCCATTATTGGAAAGCTTTGGATTGGTAGACTTGACATGCTTTAACAGTTTGTCATAATTCAGATTTGATCACCTGATTTCACATGAAAATTCTGTCTTCATGTAATCATTTTAATGTCATTCAACTCATTTGACTCTCTTTCCTGCTAGAAACATAAAAAGAGAATTTTTAAAAATATACGGGTCACTTTCTTCCAGTGAATGGGGCCTGGAGATTATATCCGTTTCTCAATACCAAGTACGCAAAGTTCAGACTTGCATCCTTGGTAGTTCGAACTTCGCAAGTTTGACTTGGGAGTGCGAACTCCTGAGGACGGGAGGACACAAGTCTGGTAATTCTGCAAATGGAACAGCAGTGGACTTGATAACGTCAGTCAGCTCACCTTGGCTACTCCGGTTATATACAATACGACGAAATATGATATCAAACACCACTGCCTCTTTTCATTTTCATTTAAACAAATTAATAGCCGCAAAGATGTAGTTCAGGGAACGTATATACATTACAGTAAAACAAAATATTATATCAAACAGCATTGCCTCTTTTCAGTTTCATTTAAAATATTAATAGCCACAAAAACGCATTACAATAAAACGAAATGATATCAAGCACCACTGCCTTTTCGTTTTCATTTTAAAAATATAAAACATATTAATATGTGGTTTAGGTAATATGTGCACATATACACACATGATTATCTTCACTGTATGTATAATAAAATGAAATATGACAAGCACATCTCTTTTTTTTTTGTTAAATGTTTGTTTAATGTTTTAATGAACAATAATAGCCATTATAAAAGTATAAGTATAAAGTTATATAATAGGAAATAAAGACAAAAGCAAACAATTCAAGTCAAATACTACAAAGTCAGTGCTGTATTACGATTAATAAATAAATAATTTATGAAATATAACTTTGTGCTCAGCCAACACGATATGACCTGGAAGAAATAATAGATTCATGAAACCAAAGATTGCCTGTTAGATATACCCAAAACAAATTTTACCTCATGTTTAACCACTACCGAGACATCAGAGCCAGCGGCAAATGTCAGAAGGTCTAGCCAAGTTGAGGCTGCTCTCATCGGGATACATGAGCACTGAGCGTCCGCTGATCGCCTGGAGCTCACGTCTCCGAATTCGGCGAAGCAGATTTTCAAATAGGTGCTATCTTTATAAATAAACCGTAGATTTGAGTTTTAAACAACTATATTCTCGAATACTTTTAGAACTGCATTTCATGACACATTAACAGTAATATTTTGAAAATTATGTGGGTTTTCTCCTCCACCATTAACGCTCACTGGTTGGTGTGAAATGCATTGTGGGATACCTGGCTGCCTCAAGCCCTGCATTCCATTCGGAAGGGCTCATCCCTTTCATTCCGAAGGGCCCTTTGAAATGGCCAGTTTTGAGCACTTCAGTTTGGAACGACCCTTCAATATGGCGGCCATGATTGTTTTCACTCCGAAGTACCCTTCGGAGGGCGATATATCCCATTTGGAACGCACCGAAGTTCGCCCAAGTCACCTCTGGATGCATGCTTGATAAAAGGGGCAGAGCAAGTACACATCCGGGAATTTGAACTGTACTTGGCTAGATGTGAATTTTGAATTGGAACATTACTTGGGCAACTACTGATGACGTTTCACAAGTTCACATGAACACAAGTACAGACAAGAACGCATATTGAGAAACGGCCTATACGTTTCCAAAGGACACAAAAGCATCATAAAAGTAATCAATACTTTACTCGTGTGACTTAATCTAAATCTTCTCAGGCCATACACTCTTAAAAATAAAGGTTTCAAAAGGACGTTTTCACAGTGATGCCATAGAACCATGTTTTGGTTCTTCAAAGAACCTTTCAGTGAACAGTTCATAAATATAACCATTTTCTTCTTTTTAGTGTAAAGAACATTTGAACAATCTAAAGATAATGGAAAGGTTTGTAACACTTTACGCAAAGCCTTTAAGTATAATGCATTATTAAGGGTTATTAATGCATTATAATTATTCATAATGTGTGCTGTAATACGATATCTTGTCATAAGTAATTATAACCAAATTTAAAATTCATAGTGTAACAATGAATTGATAAGTGTTATGATGTGTTAATTGTGGTTACAATTATTCATGAGATTGTACAATGTATTATAAGGTGCATTACAAGGCATAATTAATGCATTAAAACTACTTTTATAATGCATTATACATAAAGGCTTTAAGTAAAGTGTTACCAAAAGGTTCTATGGATATTAAATTTTCTTCATGGAATCATCATCATGCTAATAAAGAACCATTATTTTTAAAAGTGTACTTTTTTTTTTGTCAAACAGAACAAAATTTAAGATGTTATTCACTGAAAATGAAGAGTAACTGCCACAACTGGATCATTGAATGTGTGAACAAATCATGCAAAGTGAACTAGATTAACCTGTTCCGGGGGGGAAACCTGACTCAAAAGCACTATTCGTTCAGAAACCGGGCATCATTGCTTTTCCGTTTAACTCAAATTAACTTGCCAATACTGTCAGGAAAAATAATGTTAAAACAGCTCATCAGTGGGGATATATTTTTTGATCTTTTTAGCCTTAAAAAGTGCATATTAGTTCCTTAGAGTAAAACATATCTTTACAATTAGATTTTTTTAATTTGTGAAAGTGAAGAAAAAGAGCTACGAGTATGATAGATTTTCTGATAATAACTATTTAAATTCTGGTCTGTTCATCACACAAAACTATTGTATAACTTTGAAAGACTTGGAATTTTGTGCAGAAGTTTTATGGCATATTTTGAATTATGGTGTATTATGAAGTATTTTTCAGCTTGATGCCCCCAATCCTCACTCACTTTATATTGAATATTTTTCAGAATTCCTTTTGTTTTTTATCTTTTTAGCCTTAAAAAGTGCATATTAGTTCCTTAGAGTAAAACATATCTTTACAATTAGATTTTTTTAATTTGTGAAAGTGAAGAAAAAGAGCTACGAGTATGATAGATTTTCTGATAATAACTATTTAAATTCTGGTCTGTTCATCACACAAAACTATTGTATAACTTTGAAAGACTTGGAATTTAGTGCAGAAGTTTTATGGCATATTTTGAATTATGGTGTATTATGAAGTATTTTGGAGCTTGATGCCCCCAATCCTCACTCACTTTATATTGAATATTTTTCAGAATTCCTTTTGTTTACCACAGAATAAATCATACGGATTTATAATGACTAGTGCTGTCAAATGATTAATCGCGATTAAGCACATGCAAAATAAAAGTTTTTGTTTATGTAATATATGTGTGTGTGCTGTGTATATTTAATATGTATATATAAATACACACACATACAGAATATATTTTGAAAATATTTACATGTATTTACACGTATATATTTATATTTAATGTAATGTAAATATATTTAATATAGAAATATAACATATTTTTCTTGAATATATACATGCATGTGTGTGTGTATTTATATATACACAATAAATATACACAGTACACACACATATATTATGTAAACAAAAACTTTTATTTTGGATGCGATTAATCGCTATTAATCTTTTGACAGCACTAGTAACGACATGAGGTTGAGTAAACGATGACAGAATTTTCTATTCATTTAACATTGATCCATGAATCCATGATGCTCCACGTCTGTTGATTTAAACCTATACTAAACAGGCTTGGTTTATTCTACAGGTCCTGGCTTCCATCAGTCTTACTGGATATTTTATTATCTAATATCTGTCAAGCTGAGCAAATCTTTACTGATATGTAGAATTATGTGTGTTATGTGTTTTTGTATTTGCTCAGTGTCAAGTTGACAGCTTCAGTGTTCTCATTCACTACAGTTGAGCTATGTTTGCTTAGGGTGTGAGCATTCATCTTGTCTGCGTGCATGTATGTGAATGCATGTTGTGTCTGAAAACACTTCCTGACAGGTTGTCCTGATCTTCTTTGCAGTTTTTTACCTTTGAGCAGTACAAGAAGCTGTTGAGCTTTACTCTTTTATCACCCGGCATGGTAAGTCATCTGATACAAGCAAGATATATCCACACACACACGGTCATTGATATTATACACACAATCACATTCACAGTCAAGCGAAGCACTCTCCTCATTACATGGCGTGCTGGCAGTGGGAACCAAGTGTAATCGAGATGAATGCTGCTCAGTGAGGCATGTGAAAGATAGCCCATTACTTTGACAGCAGTCTATCAATGTGGCAGCAGGCTTGACGGCTGAGCCTGGCAGCAGATCTCGCATCCATGGCTTCGTCGAACAGCCAAGAAGAGGCAAAACATTCACCTGCCTTATCAATCACACCTGTCTCCGCCCACTCTAGCTAGAGATGTCAATCCACACAGAGCCCACGGGCGCTGGGAAGATCGATGTACGGAGTGTGTGAGTGAGATCGCCTGCAAGGCAGTAAGTGAATTCAACATAGCGATTGAGCTGTGGCTCCGCCCCTCAGCTGAAACCTCTCAGAATGATTGATGAAGACATGCAGTAAAATGACAAATAAAAAATGAAAGAGTGGATGGCTGGCTCTGTAAACACGGTCAAGGAGATGTCCGGTTTTCAGACAGAAAATGAGTAATGAGGCTCTCACACTGTCTTGCAGTGTATGCACAAGCTTGTATACATGGCTACGCATACACACACACAAAAAGAAAAAATTTGCGAGTGTAATCATCACACACACAATTTCGTATTAATCGAGGGTGTGGGTGTGGACTATCCCCAGCTCACCTTATGCAAACACGCTCAAAGATCTCCTTTGTCACTCTTCAAGTAGGCCTGAAACTTGTAGACATACAGGTCAAGTGCTTGAATGGAGAGCCACTAATCATAAGAATAAAACCCTACCTTATATTTTATTAGTCTGTTTAGCGGGGTTAATCTTCCTCAAAAGTACTGATGGCAATGTTTGTTGATTAATGCCTTTTTTTATTGTTGATAACGAGATAAAGATGCACTATGATGATCAAGTGCTTGAACTAAACATGCTGAAATGTTGGACAAGAAAATTATAACAGTGAAATATATTACCAATACACTGACAATGAGAAGAAAAAATAATTGAGTTGTATATATAAAATAATGTAAAGTATGTAATATTATAAATAAAAATAAAGTGTGTGTGTGAGTGAGTGAGTGAGTGCACGTAAAATCAAAATCAGCAATAATAACTATTCAAGTATACATTTTTTAATTTCAAACAAATGCTCTTCTTTTGAGCTTTCTATTCATCAAAGAATCCTGAAAAACATTTATTAAAGTTTCCATAAAAATATTAAGCAGTAAATGTTTTTATAATGATAAGGTATGATATTCATAATAAGATTATCATCACAGGAATAAATTACATTTTAAAATGTATTGAAATAAAGAAAAATCAGTTTAAAATTGTAATAATATTCACAATATTACTGTTTTTTTTTTATTTAAAAAATAAATGTTTTCAATAAAACAGCCTTGGTGAGCGTAAGAGGCTTTACATAAAAAACAATGCTATATTCAACCTCTAAAGCACTGAAAATGTTTGATCCATATTTAAACGGAACATTTTACGTAATTTGTGCCTGATACAGTCGGACACTGCAGTCAGACATTGTAGTCAGTGTAAAATGCATAACAAATTAATATGGCATGGCAAAGCATTAAATAAACTAAAATTACATTTTTCATCAAAAGACAAAAACTAAAAAAAAAGCTATGCTAACATGAACACAACTGTTAATTTGCTGAACTATAGGGTTAATGCTTCTCTGTTCAGCTAGTATGAAAATATGAAAGCTTTTTCTCTGTCATACAGTTGAGTTGTTATTGCAACATATGAAGTAATTTATCTTTGTCCCAGTCATTTTGTCTGAGCCAGTTCATTTATCTTTGATTCCTGTCTGCATTTCCTTTCTAACCCCTGAGAATGATTGACGGTGGCAGTTTCATTCATTCATTTGTGGGTTAAAGTCAAGCTCTGCGTCTGGACAAACACGTTTCTTAAAGGCTAAGTGTCACAGTAGCATTGTTCCTTTGAGCTATGGGATTTGTGTGACATACCTTAAGTGTTGACTGGTCAACTAAAAAATACAGTCTGTTCTGAATTAAACACAAAGCGACTTTCTTTATAGTCCCTGTGTCTTTCTCGTTTGCCATGTGGCGTCATGTTCTCTTGTAATGTAATTCTGCCTGCTTCAATATGCTAGGCTCTCTCTGTGGCTGGCCTGGGGTCAGGGTTAACCGAGGCTCTGGTTGTAAATCCATTTGAAGTAGTGAAAGTGAGCCTACAGGCCAACAGGGATTCATTCAAAGTGGTAAGAGACTACAGCTGTTAATTGTCGTCTTGGTATTGTTTTTGCCTTTGTCTTGTCACAAATGTCTTAGTCATTCGTTTTGAGGGCCCTAATGTTATTGCTCTTTGTTTTTCTCCATGCAGCAACCGTCTTCATTTGCACAGGCCAGAACGATTATAAACACAGACGGCTTCGGTCTCCGTGGACTTAATAAGGGCCTGACCTCCACCCTAGGACGGCATGGCGTTTTCAACATGATCTACTTTGGTTTCTACTTCAACGTTAAAGATGCCATACCTGCCAGTCAGGTAAAAAAAGTGTCACCCAAAAATGGTAGTTCATCCATTTACTCACCCTCATGTCATTCCAAACCTGTATGGCGTTCTTTGTTCAGTGCATCTCAAAAGATCTTTTGAAGAATATTTTGATTGTTTTTAACCATACACTGAAAGTCAATGGGGTCCAAAACAGCTGACTTTAACTGTCTGGACAAAAAACAATGAGATATTTTTTTTTTTAAGTACCTTCAAAGGAAAATGCCATCTGCAAACAAAAGACACTATAGAGCTTTTCTCACAAAACATTTTTGACTTTGATGCGATTTACATTTGCATACATTGTTTCATACTATGAAAATAGCTTTTTACATGTAAAAGATAGATGCAGGTCTGTATAAATCATATCTTACTATTAGAAGAAATATGGATGGAAATAAGGGAAATTAGGTTTTCCATAAATATTTACTGGAAGCTGAAAACACATTTATACAACATTTCAAAAGTCCTGATTGGATACAGGTTGCCCCGTACATATAAATACAACATATTAATGGATGGTCACACTATACTTTTCATTCTGTTGACTTCCATTCATTTGCATATGAATGCTGATGTCTGACAACAAAATCTTATCTGAAGACATTTTGAATTTCGCTGTATTCCAAAGTTCAAAAGACATGTGACCAATAGAAGATTAATACATCATGGCATGACGTCTTAAAAAATGTTAATTTTAACATAGGGTGACATGATCTGAAAAGATATGAGACCGTCTAAACAGAAATGTTGAATTTTTTTATGAATTGTATGTTTTCTTGTAAATGTATAAGAAAAACATTTTCCTTTATATTACATGCATATTTCATATAGTTAGTTATGAAACATAAAGGTCCACATTTGTCTTTCACATGTATTTACATCACATGAATAAACCGTTCATAGGTCGAAAACGAAAGTAATTGTACAATGTTGTTCATCTCAGAACGTTTTAATTTGAGATTCAAGTCTAAAAGTAATACGAAAGCCAGAGTTTTTTAATTACGTATTTACAGGCTGATGACTGAACATGTCGCCTAGCAAATTAAAGGAGGGATCAGTCATGCACATCAGCAGAGAGCGAGAGAAAGAGAAGGAGAGGGAGGAGGAGAGGAGCTGCTAAGATAAACCTCACTAATACTTTCCCTGTTTGCTCTCCATCACATCCTCAAAGGTTCAGATTACACATCCGGCAGGGCTCAACTTCCAAACAAAAGTTAATTTTGTTTAATGGAAACGTTACCATACGCCTGCTCCACATGTATAAACTGGAGCATTAGATTTACTCAAATGAACTAATTGGAAGCAGACTGAGGTATTTGTTGGGGGGGGGGTTACAGTTGAAGTCCTACTGAAGATTAGTAATCCCCCTTCATCTGG